CATTATACAGGTTGCATGCATGAGAAAAATAAAGGATAGTCAAACTTCATGTGCCTAAACTCCCCATGTTTATTCTGCAGAGTGAGGCAGATGTTTGTGAGATCTCCTTGCGGCGGAGTTCCTTTAAACAACTGAAATTTGACCAGTTTTCTGGAATGGTCAATGCACATTTTCATTTATTTTTGTCAATATCAGAGACACCAGGCTTGTAGCGTCATATTGTTAAGCAACCGCAGCCATTCCAACTCCAAGAAAAAAGTGGAAAGATGTGTAGGCATTTTTCCTGCTCAGTCTCACACACTATTATATCTTAGAATATTATATCTTGACTATATATAAAAAGATAGCGCCCCTGAGTAACACCTTGCTGAACTTAAAAAACCAAGGCTGACAGGAGCCGCGGGTAAAATGCAGACTAGAGATTGGCTCTTGCTGGGTCTCTATATGTTCCGACAAGGTCTTGGTTATTGCTGGGTCTCTTGACACAATTCAGCAAGATCTTGGTTCTTGTTGGATCTTTCGACATAATGTTCAGGCTAGATTTGGTTCTTGCTGGTTCTCTGGTTTGGTATCAGGCTGAATCTGAATTTTTGCTTATCTTTTGATTATTGTCAGAATGTATCCTGTTTCTTGCCGAATCTTTTGACTTAATTTGAAGTTGGATTCTGGTTCTTGCTTGATCTTTCGGCTTGATATGGAGATAGATCCCGGTTCCTGCTGGATCCGTCGGCCTAATAGCAGACTGTGTCCTATTTCTTCCTGATTTCGGAACGAGGAACCTGTTCCTGGGAAGAAGTCTTCGGAAGCAGGCACATGTCTGGCTCTGGCTCGTATATTTCTTTAAAACTTCTAGCTTTGAATCTCTCTTTCATGAAGTTGTGTTGTTTACCGGAGCCCGGTACATCCAATTTGCCATGGCATGACTGGCACGTAGAGTGGTGCATCTCTTTCAGTGAAGCGAGGAGGAACGCGGCGTGAAGAGACTAAACGGCGGAGGGGGGGGGGGGGAAGTCATTCACATTGCATTACCCCACATACTTTCAGCAGTCTCTTTTCTTCAACAAGTCGTTTACCCGAGACCGGTCCAGGCAATGGAGAGTCGACGTTACAAGTTCACCATGATTAATGGCAAAGACAACCTGGCGGCAACAGTATTAAATTGATTGGGATGAGCCCAGTCCTCTCTCCCTCTCTGTCCGCCTCCCATGGCTCCGAACTCGCTGTTAATTTGGCGTTTCAGATCCTAGACACGGGCACCGTGACTGTACGCCCAACATGAAGCATGTGGGAATTGCCCGACAGATTAATCGTTACCTTGCGCAAAACGCGTGCGCGGCGGAGCACGTGCAAGGTCTCTCTCTCTCTCTCTCTCTCTTATCTCTCTCTCTCTCTCTCTCTCTCTCTCTCTCTCTCCTCTCTCTATCTCTCCTCTCTTCTCTCTCTCTCTCTCTCCTCTTCTCTCTCTCTCTCTCTCTCTCTTCTCTCTCTCTCTCTCTCTTCTCTCTCTCTCTCTCTCGCTCTCGCTCTCGCTCTCGCTCTCGCTCTCGCTCTCGCTCTCGCTCTCGCTCTCGCTCTCGCTCTCGCTCTCTCTCCCTTCCTCCCAAGGGCATACGCTCGGGCCGCTATGGCATCTGTTTAAACGCTTCTGCTTGAAGACAAATCTCCGGTTATGGACTCGTGGTCGGTTACGTCATGGCCCAGCGCTGATCCATTCATTGCTAACCAACTCATGAAACCTCGAAGAGAAGTACATTTCGGTTGGGGGCAGATAAAGAAATACATAAGTCTTAAATGCAGCTTCATAAATCCCTAATGCCCAACATAAATACAATACGTAAGAGTCTGATGCGACCCTTCGTTCACCATCGGTGCACTGATACGTTACATGAGCACATAAGTAACGTGGTCAGATCTGAATAATCACCTGATCGCGCACAAGTCTGCCTGATACGTTAGAGCTATGCGCTGACGGCAGCGGCGGACGAGCAGTAAACGGACCCGGCCAGTCTGTCACGCCACGTCAGGGCTGTGACATTTGCTACCTATGTTTAGTTCGTCCGCGCACAGCACCGTACGAATAATGCATGTCAGCGTCAGGTGTCGACCGAGTGTGCGCTTGGCGTTGGGCCAGCGTGGGCGCGTGCCACAGGCGACACGGGCGCTGGTTTGTCAATATGCATGTCAATGCAAGACACACGCACAGCTGCTGGCTAAGGCTCTAAAGTTGTTGACACTGAATGATAAACGACCCGAAACGCTAGTTCCGTGACAGTTGGCTGGGGTTTCTTTGCTAACCATCGGTGGACGTCTGAGAACGTCGACGCCCGGCGGCCGCCAGTTGTGATGACCAGCCAGCGATATATCAAGCGATGTTTCTGGAAGTCGCGTGCCGTCACCAGTGCTGCCGTCGCTGGCGCTGCACACAGGTCCCGTGGCGATGGCCGGCTGATACATTCACCCGGTTCAAACAACTGCGCGAAAAAACCGTATATTGGAATGCAGGCTTGGAAGAGGAGTGACGCCCGGCCACTGTCACGGCCGTGGATGGTGCCCGGCGTGCGTGGCGGCGGCCTGTCGCCCGTGGGGCCGCGCCGGCGCCGCCAGCTGCGGCCCTGTCGCGGCACGCCATGACCTGGCTCGGCGCGTCGCCCGGTGCGCAGGTCACGTATCGACCGAGGCCGGCCAGCCGGCGAGGCGCGGCGTGATGAGCCGGTCTCGGGGAGCTCCACGGCCATCCGGCGGCGTGGCGGCGGCTGGCGGCGGACGCTCGGCTGAGTCGGGCCGAGCCGCCGCACCGCACCGCAGGATGTGCCGACCGCCGCGCCGGGCCGCCGGCGGCCGGCTCGCGTGTCTCCGCCCAGTCACGGCCTCGTGACGGCCGACCCGGCCACGCCACCGGCTCGCCGCCGCTCTTTGTGGTGGCCCCGCAGCGCGAGGCCGGCGCTGCCCGTGCCGTCCCCGGCAGCGCTGCCAGTCGGCGCGCCGTCACACACAACACGTCACGTCACACGTCGCACGTCAGTCGCACAGAATCGCAGGCGCCGGCGGGGCGCGCGCCGCCGGCTGAATACGCGCGCAGCGGAGCAGAAGATAAAGCACAGCACTGGGGAGCGGCCGACACCGCCGCCTATTTGTGCGCCGGTCCTTGTGGCGCCGCTGACGGATGATGCGGCTTCCCACACTGGGCGTGGTGCGGCTTCTCGCACGCGTAGCCGTACACCTTGTGATAGTAGGCGTAGGCGCCGGCGCCGGCGGTGGCGGCCAGCAGCAGCTGGAGGCCGCGGCTGCATGCGCCGCTGGCCGGCTGGCCGGCCGCGCGCCGTACCCCCACGGCCGGCTGGGACACTCGGGCGGGTGGGCCGCGCGCCACGCGCCCGTCTCGCCCCGCAGCGGGTCGCTGCTGTTGGGCATGCTGCTGTCGCCGGGTGCGGCCGCTGGGGTCGGTGACTTCGCTCCGCTATGGCCGCCGTCTGGCAGCTCCCTGCGCCGGTCCGCCTCGCCGCGCACTGCCGCCGCCGCCACCGCCGCCGCACAATCGGCCGGCGTCGATGTGACGTCAGCGCCGCCGGTGACGTCAGACGGCCGGCCCCGCAGCCGGTCCGCACTTCACAGTTAGCCGGCGGCCACGCGCGCGCGGAGCTAACGGGCGCCCCGGCTGGGATGCGGCAGGAAGGGTGGCTGCTGCCGGTCTGCGGCCTTATGACCTGCACGGCATTGGCTGCATTGACTTCTTGTTAGGCTGCACTGCACCCTGCTAGTTTTAACCACTAGGTATGGAACGGGCGGGGGAGCGGAGGAAAATAGGTCTCCCCAATGTTTGGCAAATTGACAAAAGCCCAGTGGCGCTCCACGCAAAAATTAATTTCCGTTAACTCCATCCACTTCCTGGAACAGCCATCCACTGACATTTATCCATCCGCCTCCATTCTCAATGCTCTGGCCTTTGTTTAACTTTGGCTACTGATGATGCAACTGCGAGACCAGTGTGCGACTAACACAGCGATCCCCTAACCGGTGCGTGTTATCAAGGTCACGTGCAGTTGAGTTACGGGCGCCGCAAGATTTGTGTTCTGGAGGTAGTCCAAGGTCATCATGGAGGAACCTGTATTGCGTAGCGCAGCGAGCCACGATCATAGGATAAGATGTGTTAGTGGCGGAGCCATGAGGGGGCAAGGGGAGCGTGCTCCCCCCCCCCCCTCCTTAGATTTGGAACTGACGATTAAGGGTCCGATTTGAGGACCCGATGGGCCCAAAAGGTCGACCGGAAGTCGTATTCAGGTGCCCCGGCTCGCAGGGCTGGGCACGCCGATGCCATCTAGAGGATCCCCTTGTGTCGATCGGGGGCCCCTGAGTCGATAAGGGCCTATATGTCGGTCAGACACCACTGGCAGCGCATGGTTGACTCCATGTCGGTATGGGCCGGAGAGCCCACTTCCTAAGCAGGGACAAAGCTGGGGCCAGCGTTTACATTGGTCGGAGCCCCAGGACGTGTCAGTGGCCCCACAGTGCTTCCAGCTTGTCTGTTGGAAATGGCCCCCAAATCGGCCACATACATTGCTCAAGGAGGCCCGGAGAGGGCCTGGGGGGCCCAACGGGACCGAGATCATTGGCCCGATTGGAAGGCCTGAGGGCATAAGGGGCTGGTTGGAGTCTTATTCAGGAGTCCTGACCGGCGGAGGCGGGCCCTCAAATAACGGTCAGATGGCTCTTTGCACTGACCGGGAACCCCCTAAGTCGATAAGAGCCTTTATGCCGGCCAGGCACCACCAGTATCGCACAGCGGGCTCCGTGTTGGTATGGGCCTGAGGGCCCACTTCCCATCCACCTACAAAGCCGGGCCAGTGATTTGTACTGATCGAGCCCCTTTTTATGTCAGGGAACCACAGTGCCTTATAGAGTTTTCTGTATTGGCGATTGCCTCGAGTCTACCAAGGGAAGGGTTCGATGAAGTTGGAAGATGAGCTGGGGGCTCGCCGGAACCGACGATCAATGGCCCCATTGGAGGTAAGAACTGGAAGGGCTGGCTGGAGGTCGCATAATGGATCCCAGCCGTAGGGCCTTGGCCTGAAATAACAGTCAGAAGGCCTCTTGCACCTACCGAGGACACCCTGGGACGGTGTGGGCCTCTATGTCAGCCCGAGGCTACCAACACCGAACAGTTGGCTCCGTGTTGGTCTGACCTGAGACGCAGCTGTCTCCAAAATATCACCCCACAGCTCGGCCCGCCGACCAGCTAGTGATCCAGCCCGCATAAGCCCGCTCTGCTACTATGCTGACTCGTCATTAATCCGCAAGCTCCAAGACTATGGAGCATTTATTTTTATCATTTCTCCTTTATTTTAGAACCTATACATTAAGTGGTGTCTAAAATGGCACGTCAGTGTCACTTATTAACAGCATTGTTTGACAAGCACCTGTGATGTTGCTTAGAGAGCGGTGATCAGTGCCTAGGCAGTGGAATTGTCGCATCAAAGTAGATATTAAGCAATACGATGACAATTTTCAACTGCAAATCAGAAGGACGAGGGTGGACTTAAATTTGTTCCGTCACCAAAATGTACAAAAGATTCCATCCTTCTGTCACATCTCAATAGATCGCTGACCATGTCTTCTAAAGCAGCATGCACCAAATTATGTGTACAACTGTGGTGTCCTAACCTGCATGCGCGAATAAAAGGCCGCCTCTTATATGCTGTTAAATAAGTGGTCCACATCAGGCAATTTTTTTTGGGGGGAGCGGGCCCTCGTCAACCCTGCGCCCCCCCCCCCCCCCCTCCTTGCCAAGGTTCTCACTGCGCCTTTGGACAGAGGGCTGGGGTGGGAGTAACCCACAGAACTTTCGTGAAAGCGTGACATTAGCCCGGGGGCGTGCCACGGTCAGGCGTGTCACGGATCCGGTGGCCGCTCATAATAGCTTGGAGGGGAGGTTGGCACGCTCGTTATTTGGGACATTCCTTCACTCAATCGCTGAGCTCAGTAACAAATAGGTAGTAGGGTGGCACAGGTCGCCAGCGGACTGCGTTTTAAATAAATTGCAAATGCATGGTGCGTACAGGATGGTTGAAGGCCTTGCAAGGCCCGGGCGACGCCGATCGCAGCGGACCTTCCGAGATCAGGTGACCTGCTGTCGCGCTGGTCATCCTTCTGATGGGGCGCTGCAACCGGCCGGTTGAACTGGACCTGCCTCGTGCCCTGGCCGAGTAACGTCAGCTCTCCGGCACAGGGCCATCGGCGGGCATCTCCGCCGTGCGTTGTTGACTAAGTGAGCGCTTTTTGTAATCATCCTGAACCCAGCCACGTGGTTCTGAGCAAACATGACGGGTTGCGACGCGCATGCAATCATGCATGGCGAAGCCCACACTCTCCCACACAGCCTTGAATTCAAACTGCTGACCGACCATCGAGAGCCGACCCACGCAGGGAAGCCGTGCAGGGCGTGCAGCCCGACGCCCGCTCCGTACCAGCCGTAATCGCCACGCGTCCTGTGGTGGGCAGCTGCTGCCGCCGTCCGTGTGTGAGGATCCCACGTGGAAGAAAACAGGCTATCACGTGACCAGTGCGCTTAATCAAGCACCCCTCGTCGACTCGCTAGTTTATGGTGGCTGGTGTAGCTCAGCGGGGGGGGGGGGGGGGCACCCACCCACGGCCGTGCGCCGAGCCTGCGCTGCTGGATGTGCCCAGATCGGGCTCGGTGCCAGAAGTGACGTCGTGCGCTGCGGCAGTCGGCTGGGGAAAATATGCACGTATAACCAAATAGCCATTTGAGCCTTAGCGGTGTGTGACATGATGTGGCCACGTACCTCCCCCCGGTCTGCTTCGGTCGCCAGCACAGCGCGGCGGAGGCGTGTCGGAGTGTGCGGCGGAGGCGTATCGGAGTGTACGGCGGAGGCGCGCCGGAGTGTGTGGTGGAGGAGTGTCGGAGTGTGCTTCGGAGGCGTGTCGGGGTGTGCGGCGGAGGCGTGCCGGAGTGTGTGGTGGAGGAGTGTCGGAGTGTGCTTCGGAGGCGTGTCGGAGTGTGTGGTGGAGGCGTGTCGGAGTGTGCGGCTGACGACTAAGACAGCGCTGCAGTGTGTCGTGGACGCTGTGCCGACGTGATGTGGAGCGCTGTGGTGTTCTGCCAGTCCGACTGAGCCCCGCTCTTGTCCGTGCTTCAGTCGTACGAGGTGGAGGATGACTACAGCCGCTCCTACACCGGCTCGTACCCCAAGGACTTCTACGGTCCGGACGAGGAGGGCGACATCAATGGTGCTGTGGAGATGAAGCCCAAAATCCTGCTGATGGGGCTCAGGAGGTGAGAGATTCCGCGTGCACTGGCGAGGTGTGTAGGCGATCAAGTGATGCCACTCAGAGGTGACTGGGCGATACAGCTGATGGCATTCAAGAAGTGGGTAGATAATCCAGCGGGTGGGACTCTGGTTATCCCATTTTCTCCGAGACGTCCGTCCACGGTGAACGGACAAGGTCCCCAACAAGGCACCCCTCATCCTACCTTGTTCTCCCACTGTTCGCAAAGGTCTCTGGGCAAAACGGTATTAATGTGACACTTTGAAACGTACGATAGGCCATTGATCATCTGCAGATCTGCTCGATGGCATGCCTGATAATAAAGACTTACATCTGGCTGAATCCCCCTCCCCCACGATATCTGATCCTAAGAGATATTTCAACAAAAATACGAAAGGCTTCAGAATCTCAGAACATCCGGTGGCAAAATGTGAAGACGGGTTCCAGATTCCGGGAAGGTGGGCACGAAGTTATTAGTGGATCCTGGATTCAAAGCGTGGAAACTTCTCAATTTTTCGGATCCGATTTAGATGCCCCCGGCCCCCGTTGTTATGTTCTGGAAGCTCTGCGGGTGTTTAAACTGCGAAGAAGTACTTGAAGTCCTGCCACCTCCAGGGGCCGTCGGCCCAAGAACTCCCCCTTTTGATGCGGGACTTGATCTCGGGATCCGCTTGTGGAATTTGAGCAAATGTCTCAATGCAGCGATAAATTTTCCTGGAACGCCCATCTAAACCGCGCACCTCAACTTTAAAAGAAGCTTGAATCACTGTGGCATGCATTGATTCATCCATTCGCCCCTTTCCGATCCACGAAGGGCCGAGTCGTCATCTGAAGGATGTCGGAACAGAGAATAGCTGAAGACTGAAGCCGAGTGCAAGAGACGTGTCGAGAGGGGCGTTATGCTGCCTCAGACGGCAGTTGAATGTGTGTGCTCGGGGCCGTGCCTGTGGGGTGGGAGGTGGTAGACAGGCCCACCTTGCTAGCTGAGTTCATCTGCGGCAGCAAGGCAGATACGACTCAGCACCCTCGCCGAATGAACTATTTCATACTGAATATCACATATTGTTTTGCCTGGCATTCCATTGTTTGTTTTCCGTTGTGTGCGAGTTTTCTCATGGGCATAGGTCATAGGCCATGGATTTCTCATGAGCATAGGTCACGGTCGCTGGCCGCGGGCCAGGCCCAGGCCGTAATTAGCCCAGAGTATAATGCAGGTGTTGCTCGCAATGCCTGCCTGCAGCGGTCATAGCGACAAGTGCCGACCTGGCTCCGCACCTCTACTGCTCTTGTGAGGTGCATGGGCGAATGGGCTCCTGGGCCAGCACCCCCTCCCCCCCCCCCCCTCCTCCACCCAGACACGACACGTCCAGTCCATATTTCGAATGGTCGGCATCTCCCCGCCCATCAGTTTGAAACTCAAGCCGACTCACCGGCGGGCAGGCTCTCTCTGTGATGGGATGAAGGCAGGGAATCTTCCATTCGAGGCCTTTGGTCAGAGCTGATTGCACGGATTGGGATGGCGGCTGGCGCACCGTCCCGAATCATGGTCTGCAGCCGTGGTAGCCGTGACGCCAGTTGCCTGGTGAGGCGGGGCTGCCGGCTGCATACATAGCTGCCAATCGGGAACATATTTTTTGACGAAACGGTCCCTGACACAGAGGTGTTGGTGCGTGTCGCTTCCTGTGCTGAGTCTGATCCTCAGTTTGCCCAGCCTGCGGGGCACGGCTGCATTTCTTTGTTATCTTTTGATTAACTCGTCAGCAACCGCCTTCAGCCGCCTCCGTGGTCCGGCTTTAAGATGTTCGACTCGTTATTCAGCGTCACGCGGTACGGGTCCAAGGGTGGGCGTATTGCTTGGCCGACTCACACGGAAATACCCGCTGGCATTTGTCCAGCAGGGGTTAACCCAGATCCGGGCCGGTTGCGCCGCGGCCTTGTGCGGTACGTATAACCCTCCACAGTTCCGCCTGGTTAAGTTCCGCCCGCCTTGGGTATACGGAAGATCCTTTGCTAAGCAGCCTTTGCGATACAACTCCACGGATGCGAACAATGCGGAGAAAATTTGAAGAAAAAACCGCGCGATCTTCCTCGTCGTCAATAAGCGTGCGTTGGCCTGAATGGTTGACCTGCCGCCAGGAGTGGCAAGTCGTCCATCCAGCGAGTAGTATTCCACAAGATGTCGCCGGCCGAGACGCTCTTCCTCGAGTCGACCAACAAGATAGTCAAGGACGACGTTCCGCACTCGTCGTTCGTCCAGTTCCAGGTGTGGGACTTCCCGGGCCAGATCGACTTCTTCGACAGCACCTACGACACGGAGCTCATCTTCAGCGGCTGCGGTGCGCTGCTCTTCGTCATTGACGCCAGGTACGACGGTGCTCCTCCGCCGGCGAAACGGCGATAAGGTCACGGTCACAGCCGCGGTGGCGCGCCGCTTGCGGTGCGGCCAGACCGGCCTCGCGGGCGGCGCGTCGCTCCGCTGCGGGCCCGGCCTCGCGGGCGGCGCGCCGCCCGCTGCGGGCCCGGCCTCGCGGGCGGCGCGCCGCTCCGCTGCGGGCCAGACTGGCCCGCGGGCGGCGCGCCGCTGCGGTTCGGGCCAGACCGGCCTCGCGGGCGGCGCGTCGCTCCGCTGCGGGCCCGGCCTCGCGGGCGGCGCGTCGCTCCGCTGCGGGCCCGGCCTCACGTGCGGCGCGCCGCTCCGCTGCGGGCCAGACTGGCCCCGCGGGCGACGCGCCGCTGCGGTTCGGGCCAGACCGGCCTCGCGTGCGGCGCGCCGCTCCGCTGCGGGCCCGGCCGTGCCGGGCCTTCAGAACCGCCCGAGGGTGGCACCAAAGTCTAGTCTGTGGGGCAGAACTGCTGCAGGCGCTGCGCACTTGGCGTTCGTGTTGTTCACATGGTGAACGGGTAACAGCAGACATGGACCTGTGTTTTGTCAGGTGGGTATCCAGGGATGTGCCGTTTGCTGTCTGCGCGGGACCTCTGGTCACTGATGCGTTATATCTTCTCACGCACGCTGGATTCTCTGTGTCGCATAAGTAAAGAGCAGGTCTGCGGGCGGAGCGACTCCGATCTTTCTGTGACAAGGCGCCAATGCTCAACAAGTACTCGGCCATCCAGTTTCACCCTAGCGTCGACGAATCGCGCATACCACCTACTCATAATGCAACGCCCGTGTCAACGCTTAACATTTCGCTGGTAACCGCAAGCCCGTGCCCCTTGAAGCTCACTGCATCGTACCAAATCATGCAGTCTGGATCATCTGATGCAATTCGTTTTAATTTACTTTCCTTATTTATTTTCAAACCGGTGAGTTATCTGTTTTGTATGTCATTCATGCAAGACATGTCCGTTACAGACGGGGAAGAAGTCAGCACTGTAAGCTAGGCTCCCTCGGGGCTCAATTTTAGGACCTCTTTTGGCCTTTTTTCTTTGAATGGATTGGCTGCCGCCAGGAACAACGATAGTCTATTTGCCGATGACAACACCGCTTCACAAACCACACCGTACTGGTAGCAACACAGCCACACATGGTTCTATTGAAATATTTTGACTCGGTATTCCATCTTTTCGATCAGTTGACCACCACATTTAATACAAGAAAAACAATGCAGGAAACATTTACACACAAACTACAAGGTTTTCCCGTCCAGCGTTTGCTGGCTGGCCTGTTCCTGTCGCCACAGCTCATCAACACTGCAGTGTTTATTCAGATAGACATTGGGTATTTCAGATGTATTTTCGGCTGTAAGGACGCAATATACCACGGGCATGTAGTCATGCATAACGCTTACCGACTTCAAAAGACAGAAAATAGGGCAGCAGGGCCCGTCGTACATCTTCATCCTATATATTTTTTTATTTACGCTTCAACGCGACTGTGGAACAAATTATCGGAACAACTACGAATCCTTGTCAGTCAACCAATTCAAAAAAGGCAGTCTGCGGACAGCTGCGGCCTCCTAATTCACCCGCTTCGTAGCATTTGGGCATTAAGCCCGGCAACACTGCGCAACGGAATGAGACTACCCATCTCACGCTTAATTGCTACATGTTTCAGGTTTAAAAATGTTATTCCACAGCTTGTAACTTTGCCCACAATCAGCAGAACACAGCACGTGCTTTCACACTTTTGCACCGACTGGTGGAGTATATAATAATCAACTCGTTGTAATTCAATTCATATATGTTTTTATGGTGATGGTCAAAATCAGCTGTGGAAACTATATGTTATGCCAACGACCTCTTCGTAACATGGGTAGTTTGCGTATGTCAAAATACTGTCGTGTAAGACAACTAGACTTCGTGGTATTCATATGTGCGCTTAGTTTGAAGACGTCACGGCGGTTGTTGTCGGCAAAAGCATAGCTCGTCTTGAAGGACCCAAATGGCATTGCAATGCCATCCGCGTGCTGGTGTTCAGGCTGGTCTGCTGGATTAGCGAAAATTCCCCTCGCGTTTGTTTCTCGGAGGTGTCTTTTAGCCCTTGACTGCTGCACGTGGCGCCCTGCATTCTCATGCCCTGAAATATGTGTACGTCCTGCTACAGATTAAAAGACAGTAAATCACGAACCCCTGCCACCACCAAAATTACCGCGCACCAAGTGAAGCCATCCTTTCTTCGAAGAGTAGCGCATCTAAGACAGCCGGTGGCGTTCACCGACATGGCGCCATTGTTTTCCAGGACGGTTACGCGGAGGCACTGAACAAGCTTCAGCAGACGGTGATCCAGGCATACAAGGTGAACCCCAACATCAAGTTCGAGGTGTTCATTCACAAGGTGGACGGCCTGTCGGACGACCAGCGGATCGACATCCAGCGCGACATCCATCAGCGCGCGCACGACGACCTCCTGGATGCCAGTAGGTCACCGCACTGTCACTGTGCGCTGCCCGTGCGGTCACCGCACTGTGCGCCGCCCGTGCGCTCGCTCCGATCCGGGCCCCAGCCCGACGGAAGTCAGACGGCCGACAATGCCGCCCACGCCGCGCTGTCAGCCCGGTCTCACTGGGACCCGACACGTCGGGTCACCGCGGGTCGCCCGTCCCGCTGTGGTGTATAGGTGTTCAGTGACAGGGACCCGACACGTCGGGTCACCGCGGGTCGCCCGTCTCGCTGTGGTGTATAGGTATTCAGTGACAGGGGACCCGACACGTCGGGTCACGCGAGTCGCCCGTCTCGCTGTGGTGTATAGGTCTATGGTGGCAACGACACCTGTTATCCGAGGATGTCGCGACCAAGCTTTGTGCCCAGTGGTGCATGCGTCTTCGGTTAAAAAGGTGACGGACGAGGGGAGAAAGAATGTCGTGCGTTTTCCATTCGTTGGTGGTGTGAATAGATTGTCAATATCTTGCGAATAGCGTGAACTCGGATCATGCGAGTTGGCAAAACGTCTTAGCTCATAGATTTATTCTCTGCTTTACGTGCTGGAAGGATTCACTGATTGTTGTGTATCCGTGTTTCAGGTATGGACAACATTCACCTCAGCATATACCTCACGTCCATTTATGACCACAGCATATTTGAGGCCTTCAGCAAGGTGGTCCAGAAGTTGATACCGGAGCTGCCTACACTGGAGAACTTGATGGATATTTTCATTTCGGTATGTGCCAATCGGTTTTCCTCGCGTGTCGCTAGCCACGTCTATGTTAATATGTATCGCGAGTCATTTGTATGTGCATAAGTGCATTGCACACTTTACGTTGACATTCAAATGAATAATACTAGGTCAAGGTGTCCAAAGAATCTGGCTCACATCAGCTGCGCTATGCGTTCTCGAGATCTCCCGATATGACATTTGTAACGGGGTTTGAATCACAAACCATGCAAGGCTTTTCTAGTGTTATAGTTTGATAAGCTGGCCGTGATTACCAGCTGTCCATGTCCAGCACATGTTTTAAACTGGTATACCTGGTATAGCTGATAGCTGTTGCAAGAGTCGATACCATATGGTCGTGATCACCACTTCCTGAAGCTGCTGCAGCTGCCGCCATTTATTAATCAAGCCACGCCCCACAATGCATGGCTTGTGGAAGTTCCTCGCTAAAGAACGCGAGAATAGCCGTAAGATCACAAACGATGCCGGGCTTGATGTTTGAAAACATGCAACTGTCTTCTTCAAGTCGACAATGCAACTTTCAACTGTGCACTGCGCTGCAGAACTCGGGCACGGAGAAGGCCTTCCTGTTCGACGTCATCTCCAAGATCTTACATCGCCACCGATTCGTCGCCGGTGGATATGCAGTCCTACGAGTTGTGCTGCGACATGATCGACGTCGTCATCGACCTCTCCTGCATATACGGGCGAGTGACGGGCCGGACGGCGTCCGCCTGGGCCAGGGTCCGTGGCGCACTGGGCGCGGCGCAGACAGCGTGCCGGCTGTCCGCGCCGGGGCAGCTGGTGCACTCCCCCGCCAGCTCCGCTGCCACCGTCTGTGGTGCGCACCGGGCGCGGCGCAGACACGTGCCGGCTGTCCGCGCCGGGCCGCTGATGCACTCCCCCGCCCAGCTCCGCTGCCACCGTCTGTGTGCGCCAGCCGGGCGGCGGGCAGACACGTGCCGGCTGTCCGCGCCGGGCCGCTGGTGCACCTCCCCCGCCAGCTTCCGCTGCCACTGTCTGTGTGCGCACGCCGTCCGGGGGCCTCTGCCTCGTTTGCGTCTGCTGTGTTCGCCCGCCGTCGTGTCTGGGAGGCGGCGGCTTGATGCGCTGCTTGTCCATGTGTCGTCTGTCGTGCTGCCTCAGCTCCGGCAGGCCGCGCCGGCAGCCGAGATTGGGCGACTCTGGCAGATCTGGCTCCGGGCGTTCCGACGCCCCGGCTTGTCAGAAGAGGCCCTCTGTGCCGGCAGCCGAGATTGGGCGACTCTTGGCAGATCTGGCTTCGGGCGTTCCGACGCCCCGGGCTTGTCATAAGAGGCCCTCTGTCTGGCCCTCTGAGAACCTCGGCCTATGTTTTCCATGACCCTGATCCGAGAATCGCTCTGAGTCCTGTCTGTGAGGGTATCGTATGCAATACTCCCAAAATAGACAGAAATCCGGTGCTCCGTCCGGCTCTGTAAAAGCTCTGCAACAGACCCTCTGGAAAACATCTCCTGTCCTTACGAGACACGCGTGCAGGACTCTACACTGCCTTCCGAAACCTCGGCTGGTTGGCAGTGTGGTCGGCTGGTTTGTTCAGGCGTGTGTATTCGAAATAGAAATCCGGCGAGGAGTATTTCAGGATTGTAGTATCGAGGTTGTAGAGTTTAGTAACAGAATACAACGGCCCGCTTAGGTAAAAGGGATTACGTTGAAACAAAGAGGATGTTCCATGGCCATATCAGTTCATTGGGTTGTGGTCAGGCCCGCCTCACTCGATCAGTGTCGACAGATTGGTATTGTGTCAGCCGCCTTCATTCGGTCAGTGTCGATAGATGGTTATTGGTCAGCCGCCTTCATTTGATCAGTGTCGGCAGATTGGTATTGGTCAGCCGCCTTATTCGATCAGGTGGTCGACAGATTGGTATTGGTCAGCCGCCTTCATTCGATCAGTGTCGATAGATGGTTATTGGTCAGCCGCCTTCATTCGGTCAGTGTCGGCAGATTGTTGTTGGTCAGCCGCCTTCATTCGATCGGTGTCGGCAGATTGTTATTGGTCAGCCGCCTTCATCCGATCAGTGTCGGCAGATTGGTATTGGTCAGCCGCCTTCATGCGATCAGTGTCGGCAGATTGCTAACCACGCGCAATATGCTCCAATACTTCCTCAAGCCAGCCAGGGCATTTCTCACAAGAAGGCTGCGATCAAAGCAGCTTTTGAAAATGTTCTGCGTTGTGGAAAATGATGCGTGCAAAGAGAGACAGAATCGTGTAAGGGAACTGGAATTGCGGTGCGATGAGCAGCACTCACTGCCGAATAACAAGACAAGAATAAGTGACCCAATTAAAGACAGGGTCTGAGCAAGCACTCAATACTCAGTACCTAACACTCAGTGCTCGGACTGGGGCACTCATATTCAATACTGAGCCCTCAGTGCTCAGTCTGGAACAACTCAATACTCAGTACTGAACACCCAATATTCAGAGTCTGAGCAAACTATGAGATACCGGAACCCTTACTGCCGTGGGAGGGGTTACGAAGAACCGAATGCGTTAGACGATGCCAATAAAGAATATTTACATTTGACGGTGACCACCCGGGCTCCCGCCAGGCAGCGATGCGTGCTAACTGCCAAGTGTTCCCCGCCCAAGAGCACGGCAGCTCTCGCGACAACGATCTAGTCCTGAGCCACACACCGAAAAACCTAGGTCGATTATCCAAGTGATGAATGTTACCAGGTTGAGCGGATGGAAACCAGACCTATAGGTTCGAAAAAAAACATGGAAAAGGCTATATCAGAAATCAAAGTGATCGAAGAATGACGAGCCTATCACAGCCGAGCCATCAGTCAGCTCAGAGGCACAGCCGGCACCGTTATAATCGACAGGCGGGAGAGCCAGCTGTGTTTCGTCAGCTGTCATCGCCGCATTCCCGGTTCACCTGTCGTCACTAAAACGGCTGGCGGATCCCAGATGCCGAATAATCAGGTGTGTCGTAATTGACCGAATCTCGTTTAGCCAAAGCAGAACAATGCCAGATATTTTGTATTGCTGCGCAATTTGCTTGTATAGTTTTCTTTATTATTGGTACCTTTCACATGGTTTCGTACTCATCAGTCCCAGCGTTCTTACTGAGACTGCATAGATTTGTGGACTCGCCTTCATGCACTCAAAAACTTTAATCTGATATTCATAAAGTCATGACGCATGAACGCAGAACGACCTCGGCCGTCGGCGCGCCACTAAGCCCAAATCATCATCATAGTGATGACATGCAGACGTAGTCATCATCAATCGTGGGCCTAGAGTCCCCACAAGTATCCACGGATCCCATCAACATGGAATCTTACCGGATCTACACCCACCCTCAGGGTCCAGGCACGTATCTGTATGAAAATTTCATTCCGACTGCGCCTTCAATGTGCATGGGAATTTTGATGAATTCACTACCACGGTTGTCTTGTAACGGTAACGCCTTGCGATCCCCGGGTCCTTCTAGAGATGGTATTTGTGTTCTTTGCTTTAGGTGAGGCTCATGTTATGCGGTGGGTCAAATACCGGTCAGCCTCCAGAGAGACAACTCCTGAAACACGTTCCTCTAACTCAGGAAGTACCTGAGACCATTGACTTAATCGCGAGGATAGTGGAAACATGGATGACTTAACTCCATTCAGTAAGAAGCGGGTAGCTGACAGATTCAGCTAACAACCACAATTGTTGAGGGCCACACGAGACCTGGAAAGGTAACTGTTACTCGGTTGTATAAACAATCGTCGTGTACATCCAACAAACCAAAACATAGGAAAGGCTTCGGTCAGCTACAATTTTCAAAGTTGTGTCAGAGTGTACCACCCGATTATCTGTTTGTCGTTGGGCACTCACCTCCCAGTGTTCGTAAGTGGTGTTCCTCAGGGCGCACCATGGCACCCTGGCTGTGGGTCGACCGTCAGCTGAGCGCCGGACGGTGAGCGGTCGTCTCCTGCGTAAGTGGGTGTTCCTCAGGGCGCACCAATAGCACCCTGGCTGTGGGTCGACCGTCAGCTGAACGCCGGGCGGTGAGTGGTCGTCTCCTGCGTAAAAGTGGCGTTCCTCAGGGCGCGCCATAGCACCCTGGCTGTGGGTCGACCGTAGCTGAACGCCGGGCGGTGAGTGGTCGTCTCCTGCGTAAAGTGGCGTTCCTCAGGGCGCACCATAGCACCCTGGCTGTGGGTCGACCGTCAGCTGAGCGCCGGAACGGTGAGCGGTCGTCTCCTGCGTAAAGTGGCGTTCCTCAGGGCGCACCATGGCACCCTGGCTGTGGGTCGACCGTCAGCTGAACGCCGGACGGTGAGCGGTCGTCTCCTGCGCTGACGCGTGAATGATCAGCTGGACTTCTCCGGGTCACCCGGTGACCTAGGGTCATCACGTGACCTCGAGAACGACTCCAGGGCTTTCCATGTCATGCTCGCCGTTGCCGGGGTGGGACCGTGGCCAGCACACCGTGGCAGGACGGGATCTGCGTGACTGCGGTGGGGTGGGTGGACGTGGAGGCCGAACAACACTCGGGCGCGGGTGGCGCCACACTGCCTTCTATGGTGGGTGGGTCGGCCTCCGGTGGCGCTACCTAAGCCAGCGAGCGCCTCGCCTGGCGCGCTGTGTAATCGACGCGGTTTTGATGCCATAGCTGTGTGCTTTGGCCGACACTTTCATTTGCTCGAATCTGAATGACCGCGATATGAGCGGAATGCCTTGGTGTGCGAAGTGATACACGAAGCTTTCTCGTGCCTTCCATTGAGCACGACTTCCGCACGCATGGAGTCAGACAGGTGACCTTGCGTAGCGTCTGAAACATAGGTGCCGAAGTCGGTCTTGGATCACACTGGCACATCGCTACGCAGACGTTGCACTGAGTGGTCCGTATGCCGCCGCTGTGCTGAGGCACTCCTAGCTCCCGTGCTGGGGTTGGGGCGCGGGCTCACTCGGCGGAGCCAGGCCCGCCCCGTGGTCTCTCAGTGACGGCATCCCTGCTGCCAAGATCCTCCGGCATGCAGGAGGTGTGGACTGTCGTCAGGCAGCGAGGCCGTCCGAACCGGCGTCTGGTCACACTGGTCTGTAGTGGTCTGCACCAGCACTGGTCTGTGCTGGTCTGGACTGATTGTGGTTGCTGCAATCTGCGTGGCCGGTCGCACTGGATTGTGTTCGTTTTTGAAGTGGATCTAATCGCTGTTTCTCGGGTTGACATTGTCCATTCGTCCACACTAAGCACAGCTGCTGGAAGTCCTAACCACGGCACTTCCATACAAACAAATTCCAGCTGAGCGGGAAGTCTCTGTCCGGGGCCAGTTTCGGCCAAAAGGTCAACGGATTTTTTGTGCTGTGTCATAAAATGACGAGCCTTGATCCCATGGGATCCAGCGCTGCCGAGTGTGACGGGTCCGCGTCCAGGATCCCGGGATCCTGTTTTCGGGTATCATTGATCGCCCGGATGTCGGCGGATCCTCCTGCACAATCTTCAACTGATAGTCAGCAGCGGGTCATGTAAGTCTTGTTTTTCTGGGACTCGGAAATCGCATGATACGGTGGTAAGATGTGTTGGCCCTGCCAGTTGAGTTAACTGAGATAATATTGTGTCTATTGCGCCAAGGGCACGGCCACGGCGGCGGTGCTGAACCCGACGCCGCGTGTGCCGCAGGCTCAAGGGCGACAACGACGGTGGCTTTGACCAGCGCAGCTCCAGCATCATCCGACTCAACAATTCGACCGTGCTCTATCTGCGAGAGGTCAACCGCTTCCTGGCGCTTGTCTGTATCGTGCGAGAGGACAACTTCCGCAAGCAAGGTACCGGACGCTGGCTGTCTGGCTGCGGACCGGGCCTGCGCCATATTCCAGGGACGTTCAGAAACAAACTACGGCATAAAGGTTTTCGAATAGGAGGCGGACCGAAACCGAGTAAGATCGAGGCTGAGAAATAGACGAATGTTGGTTAGCCACAATCAGTGCAAAGCTATACAGACCCGCCAGCTATGATTTGACCCCTAATGTGGGACGCCTTGCTGTGGTATGTTGTTTCGTTCCGCAGCATTGAACCCGGAGAGGTGCCGTACCAGTCGTTGGGTACAGCGTCGTCGCGTGTTGACGTGCCCACCCCCCTCCGCACAGGGCTGATCGACTACAACTTCACCTGCTTCCGCAAGAGTATCCAGAAGATCTTTGAGCTGCGCTCGCGGCGCGGTCGCCTCTCGACGCTGCCCCCGATCGGCGCGGAGCCGGACGGAGGCGTGGTGGACGTGTGAGCGGCGCGGCCCGGCCGCCACCGGCGCCAGCTCGGGCACGCGCGGCCACTCTGCTAACGCGATAGTACTCTGCGCGCCGCCTCTGCGTACGGACGCACGCCGGTGTACCCAGACGATCGCCTTGTATAGGGGCGGTCGTTCCGCTGCGTCTGTGTTGACGCACTGGAGCATGACGCGGTTATGTGCGGAGCCTGGACCGTATGACAGACTCTTGAAGATGTACATGTAGCCGACTTGTAGGCCCGTGTTATGCGTATGCCATGTCCTTGGGGGCTGTACAGGTTCCGTATGCCATGGTTATAATTTTTCTGAGAGAATATTTATTGTCAGGTGAACCTGGCAGTACTATGATGCTCACCCTCCCCCTGTCGTTCGGATGTTTGGAGGCATGTTCGTGAGTTGAAAACATGCTACGCGGGGTGCTTGTGGCATGGGGAATGTAAGCTCGGCTGTTGATGTATACTATGGGCGTCATATGACACGATGCGATTCATACCCGAGTTTGTAACTGGAACAACCGATTTACACCACGTTTGTGTGTGTTTGTGTGACCAGGGGCGTGACCCCAGTGGGTAACTAGCCATCTGTCGGCGGGACGCGGCCCTCCGTTCGCCAGCGAATTTCACCTGACTGGCGGGACAGCCCACCTTCCTATGCTCGGACGAGTGGGACGCCTGTCCCACGTCCGTAACAGGAGCTGCAGCCGCTCCGGGTCAGTTATAACCGTGGCAGCGCGTCCCAGCACTGCTTGGTGGCTGCACGTACAGCTTCGTGCCGTTCGACTGGCACGCAGTTTTCGCTTCCCGTCGCACAGACGGGCGCTGAACTACGGTTGCGTGCTTCGTCCCCGCCTCAATGCTGCTCTGTACGCCTCGCGCGGCCGCGCTCCTCGCACATGCAACATCGGGTACCAAAGCGCTCGGTGCCTAACGGTCCTCGGCGTTTTCGTTGAAAAAGGGTGAGATTGTTGAGTTTAAATCGGACTGAGTTGGTGAGTTCTGTTTATTCTAGAGCATGGTCATACCGACGTTTTCGGTATGTGCATCGATTAACTAGTGAGGTCATTAGCGACCGAACGCCCCAGCAGCAAGGATGCTGGAGAACGACTCAGGCAGAAGCTAAGCCCTGACCCATCACGCCCAAGGCCAGATAGGGCATTGAGCGTCCAATGATTCTCGCCTCACTTTCGTTTAACGTTGGCGTGACGTCAATGGTGCAGGGACCTCGACGCGCGGTGAGCCGCTGGACGCCGGACGTAAGGCCGAAGGGCAACCGAAACATCCAAATATTCGACATATAACGGAACAGGTGCCAGTGGAAGGTGCATATTACGAGCGAGCCGATTGAGTGGGATTTTGCGGCGAATCTGATGAGTGCTTGGCAAGCCTGTGCGATAAGCTATTAAGATGCGAGCTGATTGCGTGAAATGTAAAGGGAAGGCTCCACACTGGAAGATATTGAGGCCAGCACTAGATATGACGAAATAAGCTCTTTTGCAACTGTTGATAGTGCAAAAGACTGCTCTAAGACAACACAATTTTACTATTTAGTAACTGAGCTCCTCATTATGTCACTAAGCGTTTGAATGATGGTAGTGTCGCTGTCAGCGGTGTCAGGTTCGTCGTTGTAGGGGAGGGGCTGACTCACTTGTAATACTTCAACGCGGCGAGGAGTGGCGCGTTTGGCATTGTTTTGGCTGTGGTTTGGCATTATTTTATTGTGTTCTAATGATCGGTTATGGCGCTTTTCTTAGCACGCACCCGGTTGGCCGACTAAACGCCCTTCGCTCGGGTGGGAGGGATGGGTCATTCGAACCCTCTGAGATTTAAGAAAATAAGAAAGCTAGGTCCATCGAACTCACGGTGTATCTGCCTGTACGTGAACTCACTTGTATCTAAACTTGTGGCTTCTAGGTAATGACCTATGGGGCCAATAAGGTTAAACAAGGTCAAATTCCAGCTTGGTGGCCAAAATGATCCCAGACCTTCCCATGCAGCCGCAATGAAGCTAGATACCCGTTCTAAGAAACTGGTCACTGGTGCTCATTTAGGGTTGGTGACCTTGTGTGACTTTCAAAGATCGTGGCCAAAATCATACAAGTCCTTTTATTTTTACATTTGAATAAACGTCAAGGATTACGATGGGCAGCATGCTCGTAAAAACAAAATATTGACCCGGGTCATTTAATTCGGTGGGCTATTCTGACCTCAAAGAGGGCTATGGAAGGAGGAAGGATATATATATATATATATATATATATATATATATATATATATATGGTCACTACGTCAGTATATATATATATATATATATATAATATATATATATATATATATATATATATATATATATATATATATATATGAAAGGTGGTTTCTGTCATCAATAAAATCAAAATAAGCACCAGGAAGTGCCCATGCAGTGAGCTCTAGGGTAATAAAACAGTTTGGTTTTGGCCTAGATCGGGCCGTGTATCAACGAAATTTGTTATTTCAATTGTTGTACTGGCTAGGAAAATATTACAGAGAGGTATGCTTTCGTCTATTGCTCCGCAGTTGCATCAGATTAATCGATCCCCTAGATTCGCCGAATCCATGGCTTGATTTTGCCCTGCTGTAGGTCACTGACCATGCAAGATACATATCAATGTGTGATGTCAAACGATCCGCCATTCAGTAGTCTTACATGCGTAAAACTTGGCGCGGCCTTTGGGGGTCAAACTGACCCTCCACCCGAACGCGTGTTAAAGGGAGTGCTTTACATTTGTATGAGAGTTCGAGCTGAAGCAACCATCTTGAAAACCATTCGCTGCATTCACAGCCCTCCACTTCCTAAGACCCAAACCTCTCAAATTTCCGAGCTACACTCCCGCGAAGATACCCATACTTCATCGCGCAGACTATTTCGAAGTCACCCAGGCATCCGTAACGCCGCGATAACGTAGCCCAAAGCTCGCCATTCCATTGGCCATGTGGCGATCAAGTCGACAATTAAAACGGCTCGACAATTAAAAAACATAGGTGTCGGGTCGTCCACATCTGGCGTTTGTGGGGCACGATTTCCAGATATAACGGCCGGCAATTGGCTCTTAATCAGTGTTATGCAAGGTACGGCAACGCAATCATACGTAGACGCATCGAAGACCATATATATTAAGCAGAGAGATTGTGCTGTCTAAAGCAATCTTTTCCAGTAAAAAGTATATAATCTGGTGCTTGCTCCAGAACCTTTAAATGTGGAGAATTTCCTTTAAGTTATTCGCTTCCCAACCTTGCTTCCGTGGTAATTCGTACCAGTACCCCAATGCCTGCGTTATGTAGCATAAAACGGGCTTCGTGATCGAAACTTGTTCTCACCGCATCAAAATGGTGGAAGACCATCTGAGGACCGCGGGTGCCACGAGTTGTACTGACGTATGTTAAACACGAATAACTCGATGATCGTGTTCTTCTGGGTCTTAAGCACTACATGATAACAAGGTGGCGGTATTTGCGCGAGGCTTGTAAACACCATGAGTGCATGGCCTTCAATGGTCCTTCAAAACTTCGGCCTTCAAATTGTGACTTTCAACTTGTCTTCACAAGTTCGCGGGGCGTGAAGCTCACAGACAAGAGCCAAGAGCCTGGCTTGAGCCCAGCCTGGCTTTAAGTCTGGCTTGGAACTGGGCATGGCTGTGGAGCGCGCCGAGTCATCTTCAACATGGCTATCTCAGTTAAAATCACCACACAATGTGGAGTGCTCCCTTGAACGACGAACATGTTGATGTAAGTGGCAGTCATTATTACAATGCACTTCGGCCTGATGCGTCCTACTCTTCGCACCCGCTGGGCGTGCGGCCGCCGGCGGTGCAAATGGGTGGCGACCGTGGCGAGTCTGTTGTCTGCCGCATCATTGTTGCCGAAAATGCATCTGGCACACCTAGAGCAACAATTGACTGCGGCAGACAACAGACTCGCCACGGTCGCCACCCATTTGCACCGCCGGCGGCCGCACGCCCAGCGGGTGCGAAGAGTAGGACGCATCAGGCCGAAGTGCATTGTAATAATGACTTGCCACTTACATCAACATGTTCGTCGTTCAAGGGAGCTCCACATTTGTGTGGTGATTTTAACTGAGATAGCCATGTTGAAGATGACTCGGCGCGCTCCACAGCCATGCCCAGTTCACAGCCAGACTTAAAGCCAGGCTGGGCTCAAGCCAGGCTCTTGGCTCTTGTCTGTGAGCTTCACGCCCGCGAACTTGTGAAGACAAGTTGAAATCCAATTTGAAGGCCGAAGTTTTGAAGGACCATTTGAAGGCCATGCACTCATGGTGTTTACAAGCCTCGCGCAAATACCGCCACCTTGTTAATCATGTAGTGCTTAAGACCCAGAAGAACACGATCATCGAGTTATTCGTGTTTAACATACGTCAGTACAACTCGTGGCACCCGCGGTCCTCAGATGGTCTTCCACCATTTTGATGCGGTGAGAACAAGTTTCGATCACGAAGCCCGTTTTATGCTACATAACGCAGGCATTGGGGTACTGGTACGAATTACCACGGAAGCAAGGTTGGGAAGCGAATAACTTAAAGGAAATTCTCCACATTTAAAGGTTCTGGAGCAAGCACCAGATTATATACTTTTTACTGGAAAAGATTGCTTTAGACAGCACAATCTCTCTGCTTATATATATGGTCTTCGATGCGTCTACGTATGATTGCGTTGCCGTACCTTGCATAACACTGATTAAGAGCCAATTGCCGGCCGTTATATCTGGAAATCGTGCCCACAACGCCAGATGTGGACGACCCGACACCTATGTTTTTTAATTGTCGAGCCGTTTTAATTGTCGACTTGATCGCCACATGGCCAATGGAATGGCGAGCTTTGGGCTACGTTATCGCGGCGTTACGGATGCCTGGGTGACTTCGAAATAGTCTGCGCGATGAAGTATGGGTATCTTCGCGGGAGTGTAGCTCGGAAATTTGAGAGGTTTGGGTCTTAGGAAGTGGAGGGCTGTGAAATGCAGCGAATGGTTTTCAAGATGGTTGCTTCAGCTCGAACTCTCATACAAATGTAAAGCACTCCCTTTAACACGCGTTCGGGTGGAGGGTCAGTTTGACCCCCAAAGGCCGCGCCAAGTTTTACGCATGTAAGACTACTGAATGGCGGATCGTTTGACATCACACATTGATATGTATCTTGCATGGTCAGTGACCTACAGCAGGGCAAAATCAAGCCATGGATTCGGCGAATCTAGGGGATCGAATAACATGATGCAACTGCGGAGCGATAGAAGAAAGCATACCTCTGTAATATTTTCCTAGCCAGTACAACAATTGAAATAACAAATTTCGTTGATATACGGCCCGATCTAAGCCAAAACCAAACTGTTTTATTACCCTAGAGCTCACTGCATGGGCACTTCCGGGTGCTTATTTTGATTTTATTGATGACAGAAACCACCTTTCATATATATATATATATATATATATATATATATATATATATATTATATATATATATATATATATATACTGACGTAGTGACC